ACTTGACATTGCCCCATGGAGCCCGGGGCCAGCTTTCAGCACCAGGCGGCCTTATAGAGGCCAGTTGGTGTGAAGGCAGCCCCGCTCCTGTGATCAAGTTGAAATTCACTGGCAAGAGCTTGGGAATAGCACTGACCCAGGGCCAAGCGCGACCCTATCCTCTTCTTAGCTATGCAGTCTGCGGCCAGGGGCTTAACCTCTCTGAGCCTCAATGTCTTTACCTCTAAAGTGTATCTAATCATACCAGTGGAGTGGGCTTGTTGCCTGGATCAAAGGAGGGGACGCAGGAAGTCGACCAGTACAGCGGCTGGGGCGTTAAGAGGCCCCAAAGAACAAGGTTGATGAGGAGTTGGAGGTGGGGGCGACGAGGATGAGGATCGGGCTGAGGAAGAAGCACTTTGTTGCTGCCCCTCTTCCCAGACACACAGGGGCTTTTCAACTTTTCCTTTGCTTCCTTTGTGCCCTGGATTCCTCACGGATGCTCTCGAGCTGCAGGGGGGGAGGGTCTGTCTTCCCACTGCAAGGACAGTCCACAGAGGGTCGTACTGCCACGGATCATGTTCCTTTGGTCGGTGCATCGAGGAGCCCAGTAAAAATGCCCACAGCTTGTGTGATTGCGGTGTCTTCTTCCCTTTGCCTCTGTAACCCCACGCTGATGGAGAAGGCACTTCACGCTTGCACGCTGTCAGTCCACCTGTCAGTTGGACTTGGGGACGTAGATTGCAGGCAGCCGGGGATGGGTTCATGATTGACGGTGGGGAGAATGTTTCAAGCGCCCTGGAGAAAAACAAGCTGCGAGGGATGAGTGGTTATTGGGATAATATGGCTTTTCCACTTCTGGGAGTGTTAGTAATCAAAAGCAGGATTTGGCCTTTCTAGAGAGTAATTTTGCAATTTGGCAGCGCTGGAAGGGAGAATTCCACGGAATCCATTGATACATTCTCTTGTAAAATCCCTCAGCCAACTTTTTCTTTTGCGGGGAGGAGTTGTTTTCTTTAATTAAAAAAAATAACCGTCCCCATTAAGAATATAAAACTAAAAAGAGATTTCCCCCTTCCTGTTGGAGCTCGGGCAGCTCCGTTCCTGAACTAAGCAGACCTAAATAGAATTGCCGGTGAGATTTGACAACTTTTATAATGTTTTATTATTATTATAATTTTCCTCCTCCTCCTCCTTTTTTTTTTTCCATTACGTAGCTGGAGCCGCAGAGAGGACTGTAAAGCTAACATCATTCCTTTCAGACTTCTGGCCCCAGGGGGTGATTCCAAGTGGTGTGGCTGCTCAGGATGGCTCCAGCTTTGGTTTGGAAGTGGTACATGCCACAGGAAAGCTCGGCCAGGGGACCCCTGGGTGTTGTGAGGGCTCTGTAGCCTCATGGAAACTTGGCAGACACTCCGTGTCCCCTGCCTGGCTACTCTGACGTGCTTTCACATGACAAACAAAGTCAGGGGCCAGGGTGGAGATCGTTGCACCCCCGAGGGATGGGAGAAGCAGGAGAGGAATCTTGGGCCCTAAGCCCCCTGCTCCTCTAAAAGTATATTACATCCTAAAAATGGAAAGAAGTAATCAGGAGCCTGTCTAGGAATAGCGAGGGTACAGTTGGGTTAGAATCCTGGTTGTGTCTCTTTCTAGCTCTGTGACCACGGGCGAGTTGCTTGACCTCCCAAGGCCCTGGTGGCCTCATCGCGGAAAGTGGGGATAAAACCAGTACCTACTTCATAGGGTCACAGAAAGGATGGAAAGGCCAATGCAGCATCCTTCACGCTGTGTTAGATCTAGTGTTCTTGGTACCTGACCTGATTTCAGGTGGACTCTTAAGCCATAAAAGAATAGTTGGTTTATGGCAAAAGTCACAACTAAGTTGGGGATTTACTGATACGTATTTCTTCTAGGGAGGAGTTCTTAGCCTGTTGGTGCCATGGGCCTCTCTGGTGGTCTGGTGAAACTTATGGGTCACACTTCTCAGAATAATGGGATTAAATGCATCCTATCAAATGCGTAGATTGCAAAAAGAAAACCAGTTCTCCTGAAACGTGGTTAACAGAATATTTTTAAACGGCAATATGGGATTACGTGCGCTTTATAAATGTCTTAAGTAACGGGATCTAGTAGCAGGTCTAAAAGGACTGTGATTTTGAAGCTGTGATAAGCACAAATAGTATCTTGAGGCATCTACAGCAGCTGCGGTGGAAATGAAATTATTTCATTTCTGTTGATGACAGTCGCTAGGGCTGCTAATACAACCGTGGCTTGTTGCCTACATTTGTAACAGAAAGGAATGCTAAATTTCAATTTAAGATTAATGAAAATAAAGATGTCATTTTACAAATCCAAATTTAGAACCTTAAGTTTCCCCCTGAGGAAAGGCCTCCCAAGTCAAGGAGACAGGCTTCCTCCTGAGAAATTCCGTGGGCTGAAAGCATGAGTCATTTTTGTGAAGGCATAACAGAAGTTTCTACTAAGTGCCAGGTATTTTCTAGGGCATATGGTGGGATCTTTTCAACAGTCTCGTGAGGCTCAGAGAGGTTAAGTGCCTCATCCAAGGCCACACAGCATTAGATGGCAGATCTTTTAGAGAACACATATCTTCCCGAATCCAACACCTTCATTCTTTCCACTACGTCCAGATTCTTAAATATCTAAATAGAAATCAGGATCCAGTGGGTTCTTCAGGGATAGGAAGGTATTGGGGGGCTCAGGGTAGAATGGTGTGGTTTCTCCGCATCATCTCTGTGTTTTCCTCAACTCACAGACGGGGAAACTAAGGCTTAGTGAGGCGACCTGCTTTATCTGAGCTCACAGAGTTAGCAAGGACATTGGCCTGGGTGTGCTACAGGCTGTGGGGGGCGGTGGAGGGACTCGTTTCTGGGGACTTTATGAAGACTGGGCATTTCCCGGAAGGAGCAGCTTTTCCGCACTTCCCAGGTGACTTGGGATCAGATTCAAATCCAGTTCTCCCCCTCCCACCTGCAAGTAGTCTTCTTGGGAGAAGCATGGGGAGGCCTTTGAATATCTTCGTCTTCATCTCTATTTTGCTTTTCATCCAAGCAGCGCTTCCACTTTGCACAAAATAGTAAGTGCCCTAAAAGTTTTCCCATATCCCTGGCTCCTGAAGGGAGCCCTGGTAATTATCTCATAAGTTAGATGATGTTCTGTGTCCTACCTTGGTTCATCTCGCATGGCTTTCTGCATCCATGTATGGATAGTCTCCATATTCTTTTTGAAGCCTGTGTAATATTCCATTCTCATCTCTGCCAGAGTTTACTTAACCATTCATGAGGGCATTTAGGCTGTTTCTCATTTTTTCCCTGTTATAAACAGTGCTCAGAGAGAAGCCTCATGCTTATGTCTTTGCACACCGACTTGAACAACTTTTTCTTTTTTAAGATTTTATGTATTTGAGATAGAGAGAGAGAGAGCATGAGTGGGGGAGGGGCAACGGGAGAGGGAGAAGCAGGCTTCCCACTGAGCAGGGAGCCAGATGCAGGGCTCGATCCCAGGACCCTGGGATCATGACCCGAGCTGAAGGCAGACGCTTAACTGACTGAGCCACCCACGTGCCCCTGACTTGAACAACTTCTTAGGAAAACGCATAGTAATTGGATTGCTGCATCTACGTTATTGTACGTTTTTAAGAAAAGGGATGCTATCCAGTTGCCTTCCACAAAGGATGCACTGGATCACCCCTCCACCGGCCTGTGCAGTGTAATTGTGATTCTCCTGCCCACAGTTTCCACTCCCCACCCCAAACATTGGCAGCCCCCTCCCCTGCATGGGATGAGCACGTGTTCCAGGCCAGACCATTCTCTTCTTAAGCTTCTCTCAATTCTTCCTTTGATCTTAGAGCCACCCCTCCTCCCAGCTCCTCTGCAGACTCCCACTCTGACCCTCCCTACCCACCTGGCTTCCTATGGGGCTCCTGGGGCTGCTGAGCACACCTCCCTCCTTCCCAGGAGAGGTTTCAGTTGAAGTCCCCAGGCTATCATGAGGAAGAGAGTGGAAATACTGGTATGAAAGCTGAAGGCAAGGGCGTGTGGATGGTGTATCCTAACTGGGTGAGGAACCACATTTTGAGCCATTGGGAGGACGCTATTCATAGGATGTCACTGGATTTTATTCTGCTTGGTTCACTCGTGTGACCATTGAAGCTCCGAAGCGCACACAGTCTGTAAGTGATGGGGATGGGATGTGAATCTGGATCTGCCTAATTTTAGACCCCATGCTCTGTGCTCGGTTCCTTTATCCTTGCTCTTCCTTCTCCCTTCCTTCCTCTCTTTCCCTCTCTTTTTCTCTCCTACTCTCTCAAAACAATGGCAATAATGATGATTCTTGCCATTTGCGGAGCACTTGCTATGTTCAGTTTTTCACACGTGTTAGTTCATTTCTTCTCTCAGCAACATTTGAACTGGGAATTTTTACTAGCCAGGCATGGAGGATAAGTTAAATATTGTCAGTGGTGACAAGTACACCTGCTCAAAAGGAAATTCGAAGGCGTAGGCAGCAAACGACCCAGATTAGGGTAGCCGAAGATCATACCTGACTATCCTAGGTGGTCAGCAACTTCTTTACTAATGTTGGACCAAGACCTCAGCCCTGTTTTAAAGACGGAAACCCAGAAGTTCAGTCTAAGTGACTGCTTCACTCTTCTAGCTTTTGAATTAGGGAATTCAGAGACATATACATGAGGTTGAAATATTTCAAAATGCCATGTGAAGAGGGGTTCCTCATGGGGGATGCTCATTTAATTTTTGGCATACACATAGAACTATTCATAAACCTACTTGCCTAATGTATAAGGCATGAAAAGTTAATGCGTGGATATATGTGTCTGTGGTGTTTGAAGCACTTGGGTATAATTAGATCACTGTGCTCATCAAAGACTCCTTTTTTTCTTATTCTGTGATGCATTTCTGGTGGATTCTTTGACCCTGTGGTTCAGCCAGTGGGGGGATCTGTATCGGGGCACTGATCAATGTTATTTCCCATCTTCTCTCTTTCAGTAAAGAATATCCTGTGGTTCCCAGGAGCACAGTAAGACAAAAAGTAGCCTCCAACCACAGTCCTTTCAGCAGTGAGCCTCGAGCTCTCTCTGCCTCATCCAACTTGGGGTCCCAGTACCAGTGCGAGAATGGTGTGTCCGGCCCCTCCCAGGACCTCCTGCCCCCGCCCAACCCATACCCACTGCCCCAGGAGCACGGTCAGATTTACCATTGCACCAAGAGGAAAGGTGAGTGTGATGACCCTTTTCTGTTTTTCCTTCCTTTCCTTGGGGAAAAAAAAAGTACACACAACTACATTTATTTATTTAAAAAATGTAAGCAATATAAAAATACATGGAAATTGTAAGAAATTCAAACCATGTCAGTAAAAGGGAAGGATCTCCTTTGATACATCTCCTCCAGTTCTGGCCCCTTGCTTGGGGAAAACTTATTTGAACTGTCCGGTCCTATTTAATTCATTTACACATGTGTGTGCACGCACACCATGTGTGCAGAGACACATAAAAATAGTTTTCTTTTTACTTTTAACAGTTGATATTATACTGTCTGTATTTTGCAACTTGCCTTTCTTAAGCTCGGGAATACGCTGTAGATGATCTTTTCATGAACCTAGAGCTGCCTTGTGCTTTTTAAAAGCTGCTGAAGAGAAAATATGGCCTCAAAAGGATGAAGCAGAATTTATTTTTCACTCCCATGAGTGGCCAAGGTGGCTGCTTCTAGCGTTTGTGGTTGTATTGCAAGCCAGGCTGCAGAGAGCCTTCTTATAGTTGGATGTGCTTTGGTTCACGTGCTAGGGTTTCTCTTCGGTGGGTGGATTCTGAGCTCTTCTCTCATTCCAGATCAAAATCAAAAAAAAGAAAGAAAAAGAAAATCACAACTGATCTTCTCTCCTTTGCATTTTGTCTTTAAATCTAGTTTAAATTCTGTCTGAGACCCTTCATTGTCTTCTTTGCCAAATGAGAAATGGGTGACTTTTCCTTAGTCATCTGAGTTGAGGGCTGTAATACAAAAGGAAATTTCTGGTGGCATATTTTTTGAGCCAGAGTTGAAGCAGATGTGGTTGAGTTCAGCTTAATAGAACGGTCACTTGTGTGAATGGCAGACCAGCAAGGTGGGGACAGCATGGGCGACAGGGCCAGACGACACAGGCTTGAGCCTCAACTCTACCACCAGCTTCTTGTGTGACCTCAGCAGGTGTCCTGGCCTCTCTATGCCTCAGTTTCTCACCTTGTAAATGGTGCTTGAGATCCCCAGAGCATCTGATACTCAGTAAGCACCCAGCAGGTGTTAGGTCTGATTGTGTGAGTGGCAGGTACGGCTCCAGGGAGAGCATCCACAGAGGAAGGGAAGGCTGCTTATCTGGGTGAAGTTTCGAGAAAGCAGATATGGAGGGGCAGGGACCACGTACAGTTGGGATGAATCCCACCTTTGCCATTTGCAGATTTTTATGATTGGGGCAAGTTCCTTAACTGCTCTAAGCCTTATTTTTTCTAATCTGTAGATTTGGTCTCATGATCAGACCTGTCCCATAGGCGTGGTGTGAAGATCTCATGAAAGTGTGCTTGCCATATTTAGCACAAGGTTAACCCAAGAAGCAGTCACTGGTTTGCTCCAGCAGGCCCAGATCTTAGTCTTTGAGAGGGGTCTCTCATACCTCCCAGCCTCAGTGGCCAACTCGATGCCTTTAGAAGTCCAGCGCCCAGTGTCTGGAACGACTACTTCTTCTTCTTCCTCCTCCTCCTCTCCCTCCTCTTCCTCCTCCTCCTCCTCCTTCTTCTTTTTCTTCTTCTCATTCTTCTCCTTCATCTTCTTCTTCCTTTAAATCAGCTCACTAACAAGAACTGATGGGAAATGGATGCTTTGGCAGTCTTCTCTGAGCTGAGGTTACTCAAGGAAAGTAACACAGTTTGACTCTTTGACATTACCGATCTCACGTCTTGAAGGAGAGAAGGGCTGTCATTGGTTCAAGCCTGGGGCTGGGGAGCTGCCCTGGGCGGGGCTAAGTTTCCAGACTTAACCTGAAGCCCATCCAAGCTCCTTGGATCTTGAAGGCCTGAACAATAATATCACCCCAATGGGCCCCCTGGCCCGGCTCCCAGCATGCCCACTGCCGCCTGGGCTGGAGACCAGATGCCTGCAAACATGTCAGCCTCTTCAGGCATGAGCAGGGTTTAAGCATGTCCCTTGGGGCACAATACTGCATGAAGATTCGGATCTATGTCCTGTTGAAGGCAAGCCTTGCCTAGGTTCTATGCCATAGCCTTTTGACAACACTATTACGTATGTGCTGTTATTCACTCACTTTACAAACAGGGAAACTGAGGCTCAGAAAGGTAAAATCATGTGCTCGTGGTTCCCGAAGGTGGGAATTTGAACCCATGCCTGGTCTGCAGGCTCTCCTTGAGCTCCGAGTCACACTGTAGACGGTCCCCATTACCTTTGCTTATCAGCCATAATCTCAGAATGCCACTTTTCACTAGAGATTGGCCTGGAGACTGAGTCAAACATACTGATGAAGAGCTCACCAGGTTTGAATTAGGGAGTTCTGTCGATTAAATTAATGCCAGGCCAAAAGAAGGGGAGGAAGAAGTTAAAAAGAATCCAGGTACTTTTTAAGATTCAGTATCTACAGCATCATCCTTATAAAGGCTTTTCTCCTGGAGGGTGGCGTGAGAAGGCTTTGAAGGCAAGGGGATGAAGTCTTCTGATGATGTGAGCAGATGACCCGCAACAGGGTATTTGGCGGGATCCTCAGGTGAGCTCAGGGTCGACTTGAGGTGGCCACTGGGGAAGCCGGACTTGGTGGCCAGTCTGCCGCAGGACATCCCAGCAGCTGACGCTTTCCAGCAGCATGGCAACGGGGAAGCTGCTTGCTTTCTCAGCCTCAACTCCCTTTTTTGCAAAATGAGGATTACAGTAGCACCTCCCCTGTAGGGTCGTGATGAGATGGAACGAGAGGGTTCATGCGAAGCGCCCGGAAGAGTACCCCACACATCTAAGTGCTCGATGCGTGTTAGCTGGCCACCACTCTGCACTTAGGAAGCTCACGGCTGCAAGTGGGTCAGATGTGTAATTATATACGGTGATACGACTGCTTGATTAAAACGGTGATCCGATGCTGTGAAGGAGATAGGAAATGTGCCAATGCGTACGTATGATGCAGGGTGTGATGCAGGAGCCGGGGGATCGGGGGGAGTTTAAGCCAAGGTCTGCAGAGCGGAAGCTGGAAGGAGAAAGAGGGGAGATGGCCCGGGATCCAGGCAGAGAGAAGGGTATGGGTGCAGCCCCTCAGAAACTGGGGAGCCAGCCCCCTCTGGGGAGCAAACACAGGGCTACTGTGGCTGGAACACAGTGAGGGGAAGGGGAGGCAGATGAGCTACGGAGAAAGGCAGGAACCAGCACGCTGCCAGCCCTTGTAAGCCATTTTAAGGACTTTAGATTTTTTTTTTTTAAAGATTTTATTTATTTTTTTGACAGAGAGAGACATAGCGAGAGCAGGAACACAAGCAGGGGGAGTGGGAGAGGGAGAAGCAGGCTTCCTGCCGAGCAGGGAGCCCGGTGCAGGGCTCGATCCCAGGACCCTGGGATCATGACCTGAGCCGAAGGCAGACGCTTAACGACTGAGCCACCCAGGCGCCCGGACTTTAGATTTTTTTTAAAAAAGATTATTTGTTTATTTATGAGAGAAAGAGAGAAAGCATGCACATGAGCAGGGGGAGGAGCAGAGGGAGAAGGACAAGCCGACGCCATGCTGAGCAGGGAGCCTGATGAGGGGCTCGATTCCAGGGCCCTGAGATCATGACCTGAGCCCAAACCAAGAATCAGAGGGTCAAACGACTGAGCCACCCAGGCACCCCAGGACTTTAGATTTTATCCTGACCCCAACAGGCAGCCATCGGAGGGGTTTTGACCCACGAGGGACGTGATGAGGTTTCTGTTTCGAAGCAGGCGTTTTGCTGTGTTGGGGGGTGGGGGGTGGGGGGATGAGGATTGGCTCCAGAGCTCTGCTGAGAGGCTATTGCAGGCCCTGAGGCGGGAAATGACAGTGCTAAGCCCCGGCTGCCGGCACAAGATCTGCAGGTGTGGGTACAGTCAGGCCCCAGGGACCCGTTGCCGATAACAAGGTGAAGAATGACTCCCTTTCCACAGATGCAGAAACTGAGGCTCAGGGAGATTGAGTGATTGGTCCAGCATCACCCGGCTCGTGAGTGGTCCCACCCCAAGTTCACGCCACGGTCCGTGCATTCGGGCTGCAGGGGGCGTGCACCCTGCAGGACCCCTTTCACCTTGCCACAAACCTCTGCCCTTCTCACCTCCCTCCACCCCCAAAAGGGCGCTCCCGGGGACAGGGAGCATTCCAGCCGAGCTCTGTCTGTCCCGCGTGCCGACAAAAAGCAATTCATCATCAGCCTCCATTGTAAGGTGATAAGGAATCAGCAAGGTTTCCTTCCAGTTTGGGATTCCCGTGAAGTGATAGCTCCGTGGGTGGTTCCCCCCCCACCCCCCCGCCCCGCGGCCCCTGCCTGCCCCACTATCTGACTTCCCCTCATTGTCTGTCTCCTTTCCAACGAGCCCAGGAGGCAGGCCCAACGAAATGTCAAAGGGCCAGGCAGGCCAGAGGGTTTCTTGTGTTTGGACCCAGCTGTCTCCAAACTATCTCTCCCTGTGGATGGAGCCGAAAGAGCCAGGAAGGTCTTTTATCAATGCCACTCAATCAAATCCAGGACCCCGGGGCCTGGGAGAGCACTTGTCTGTCTTTCTTTCCCCCTCCCACCCTGATAACCGCCCCCCTCCCCAACCTTAGAAACCAGAGGCAACCCAAATAAAGATTTGAGCAAAGCCATCTACTGCCCTGGCTATTCAAAGGGAAGTCAGAAGTGGGGCGGGGGGAGGAAGAGAATACAGTAAAGGGTTCTGTGGGTTGCATTTTGTCCGTGCTGTGTGCTTTTTAGACCAATTTCACACTACTTCCTTCACTGGACCTTCCTTCCAGCCCCTGAGCCGGGCTTGGGGGCAGTGGTGCCCTCCATCCCCATTTTGCAGGGCATAACAGGGGACTAGGAGGTTGGATTGGCTTCCCAAGGTCGTGTGGCTGGTGAGTGGCAGATCCAGGATGCGTTCGTGAAATAAATATTTGTTGAGCATTTACTTTGTACCGGGCGCTGTCCCTTGTACGTGGGATAAGGGGACAGCAAGGGGGCAAAGGTCCCTCTTTTCCCAAAATTTGTATTCTCCTTGGGGAGACAGATAATAAGCAAATAAATAAATGTCATGATTTTCAGATGGTGGTTCAGTGAGGATTGGACCCGAGTCTTTTGATTCCCAACTGAGAATCTTCTCACAATACTGATTCAGTCTGTTCCACTTTGAGCTAAGAGCTAACATTATGGGGACACACACACACACACCATCCATCCATCTGTCCACCCATCCATCCATCCATCCATTCACCAGCTCAGGTACCATCTTTTCATCTTTTCTGGACACAGTGAGTTTCACAAAAGCCGAAAGGCTTAGGCTGTCCCATCCATCCACCCACCAGGTCAAGGTTACCATCTTTTCATCTTTCCTGGACACGGAAGCTGAAAAACTTAGGCTGTCTGTCAGAAAGAGCACTGTGTTGTGATTCAGAAAGCCTGAATCATACTTCCACTTCTGACTTGCTGAAGGTCGCTCAGCCCAGGAGTGGCGGTTCACCCAGATCTTTCATCCGAACAAACCCAATCAGCAAGAGAAATGACCCATTTGGAAATAGTGACAATATTTGCTTAATGGGATGAGCAACTTAAAAGCAGCCTTGTGAATTTTCCTGCTCTGGGATCCACCCAGACACCTTCAAGCATTGGACAGCCTCCACACAGCCATCCATCCGATCTTCTAAGAGGGAAAAAAGAGGAGACCCGTGTTCCTTGGACAGATAAGATTTGAACACTTTATTATCATCTCCATTCCTGCAAGGAATCTAAGCATTATCCCCCTACCTAGTCAAGAACTGAGATTGGGATATGGTGCAGTGGCCCATGCAAGGTCAGATAGGCAGGGAGAGTCAGAGACATGCCCTAAAATCTGTGCTCTGGAAAGATCGTTAAAGCCATTTATCCAGAATCAGAAACCACTAGAAAAATGCAAGGTGCCGGGATATTTCGCGGTGCTATGTGGTGATCAGTGCTCAGAATCAGGAAGAGCTTTCCTGTTATTCAAGAGACTCAGTTGGGTTCAGGACAGGTGGAATATAATTGACCGCTCTTACTACTCACCTTTCTGAAACTGAGCTCTGGACCCATCTCATGGAAGACTTGATGCTTGACTACCTATTCCCCAGCCGTGGAAGGGAAACACGACTCGGCCGGGAAAGAGATCTTTGCTGTTGAGCAATTATCAAGCTCCCAATAAAGAGAAAGAAACCAAACCATGGCCAAAACAAACATAGGGATTATATCCCAACCATTGATCACCACCGACCTGAAATTTAGATCTGTGCTTTGGAATTTCTTTACAATGTGATGAGGTTCAAAGAGGAATTTGAGAACGCTTGGGACCTGCTTTCGTGAATAAGCCAGTCTTTTGCTTTTCTTAGGATTCTGCATCAGATCTTCGGGTTATTAAAGACTGGAATGTGTAATTTTACGATTTTCCAAAATGTGCTCCGGCCTTTTTCATATTATTCTTCCTTTTTTTGCTTGTAACAAATCTGGAAGGGGATCAGAAACTCGGGAATGGTTAGTTTGCCTTGTTTTTTTTCTCTTGCCAAGGGTACCCTGCAGCTGTACTCTTGATTATTGAAAAGGGGAACGCCCTGGTTAAATGGAAAACCCAAAGATTATGATTCTAGCAATAATGGAAACATTCAGATTTATGGATCTGGGGCGGGGGGTGGGGGGTGGGGAGGTGGGTGGGTTGGAAGGAAGCAGGGAGGCATGAGGGAACCGAGGGAGGAGGTGGGGCAGACAGAAAAGGTCGAGTGTAGCAATGTCTTCAAGACACCAAAGACAAATGCCCCATTGAAAGGTGGAAAAAGTGGCCACGGGCTCATCTGGATGTCTTCAAACATCTGGATGGTTGGCATGATGTAGATAAAGCACCTGGAAGAGAGGCCGCGTTTTTGGCTTTTATTTTGGATAAATGTTTGGGCGTCCTATGGGGCCCAGATGTGTCCCAGAAAGAGTCTAGCTAAAAATAAATGTGCTTGCTGGGAGGTGGGTCCAGTCCCGGCATAGATGGGTTTAGATGGGGCAGAGTTTTACCCGCCTATGGGTGTTACTCAGGGTGTGATGCCCATGGAAGCATTCGGTGGAACCCAAACCCAAGCTCTCCTACTCGAGTTGGGGAGCTGTTTTAAAATCCTGTGCAAAAACCAAAGGACTCCCTGTGGGGTGAAGCTTTATATGCAAGACCACCTCCCATTCACCGAGCGTCAGCCTCCCACTGTCACTGCTCAGGGTGGGATGGAGAGCCCCCCCCACCTCCAAAGTGCACTGAGCAGGACCCTGGCTATTTATTGACTGCTCTTTGCCCAGCAACTGGCACTTGGTCGTGGCTCAGCACATCTCTGTTGGATGACTAGGTGAGTGGCATTCGCTGTGAGAAATCGAGAGAGCTGGAAGCAAGGTGTGGTTGGCAAGGAAGCCAGACGTGGCTTCGATTCCAGCCCGTGCTCCTTCCCAGTTCCGTGACCTTGGGAAGGTCACTTCCCTGAGTTCAGTTTCTGCCCCTTGACAGGCGCAAGAGGGGCCACCTGGAGGAATTACTGTGAGACCAGGGAAAGGTCGCTTAGTAGGTGCTCAATATCTAATCACGATGATCTCCTCCCATTATTTAGTTCCATGTCCTGCCCCCAGGCCACTGACCATCACAGCAGGTGCAGGGATGCCCCAGTGTTTCCTTTTTCTTCACACCCCCCAACGACAGACACTTTTTCTTAACATGTATTGATTCGAAAGAGATTGGAAGATGAGGACAGAAAAATCTCCAGGTTGGTGGATAAAATCCCAGCGAAGGAATGAATCTGTGTTGAGGTTTACACCTTGATCGAAACTCTCAAGCATTGCTTCCCCAGAGGAAACACCTGGAGGTGTGTTAATCTGTGTTAGGTCTGCTGAGAGACTGACTGGTGGTGTTTCCCTCGCAACAAGAGCTGCTCTTGATGACAGGTATCAGGAGATTTACGTGCTTGATTTATTGAATTCTTAGCGGCCAGGTGAGGTAAGTATTACTAACTCTCATTTAGACAAGCTGAGCGTGGGTCTCAGGGAGGCCAGCCCTGCTCCTGGCACGCAGATAGGAAGTAGGAGAACCAGATTGAAACTCAGATACGTCTACACTTCTTAACTTGGGGTCCGGATTTTAGGGGCTCCCTGAGCTCCCGAAAGTTAGTGCAAAGCTGTCCTAGGCACACAGGCGGTTTTCAAAACGTTGTGTTTCGGTGTGTGTTTCTAGGAGAGAGCCCAGCGCTTGTGACTGTTCCCAAAGGAGGCAGTGACCCCAAAGTAGTTACGGAAGACCCTCTTTCAGAGAAAGAATGATCTCCACGGCCCTACGCTGGGGGCTAGCTGGTGTCTGGGGGGAAGGGAAGTGACTTTTTCAATAAGGAAACGGTGACCCGTTAAGTTGTACCGACTCTAACAGATACTAACTGGGACTTGCCGACAGAGGCGTTGGGGAAGGATCCGGGGCTTCGCCCGAGCTCCCGTCCATCTGTGTACTTGTCCATCCGTCCTTCTGTCTGTTGCACAGATACTCAGTACGTGCCTCTCTGGGTAGTGTGGTCCTGAAGAGCAGAGACTTGTAATTCGATTACTTGAATTCTAACCCACCGCGCTCCACTGTTTAGCTGCAGACCTCGGGCGGGTTGCTTGACCTCTCTCTGGGCTTCCGTTTTGTGATCTGCAAAATGGGGATCCTCGCAGAGCCCACCCCATGGGGTTGCTGAGCAGGCTGCATGGGGTCCCTTTCCGGAGAGCGCTCGGAACAGCCCCAGGCGGAGTAAATGCCGTTTGTGTGCGTTCATACTGTTATCCTGGACGGTCTTAGTATTATTCTGGCTCCCAGGTTCTGGATCCTGGGGAATACCGTGGTGGGTAGCGAAGAGCATGTCCCGCCTTGTGGAACGTACACGCCGAGCTCAGAGGGGTCAAGGTCTGTGCTCCAGGCCTCCACCATTACTGTCCCCACTGCTCGTGATCAGAATGGAGGCTGGCGCTCAGAGTCCCCCGGACGGGATCCTTGAGTCCTGTGGCCGCGTCCGCCTCCAGTTCCCGGCCTCACTGGTCTCTGTCCTCCTGTCTCCGCAGATGAAGAATGTTCCACCGCGGACCATCCCTACAAGAAGCCCTACATGGAGACGTCGCCCAGTGAGGAGGACCCTTTCTACCGCTCTGGCTACCCCCAGCAGCAGGGCCTGAACGCCTCCTACAGGACAGAGTCCGCCCAGCGGCAGGCCTGCATGTACGCCAGCGCCGGGCCGCCCAGCGAGCCGGTGCCCAGCCTGGAGGACATCAGCTGCAACACGTGGCCCAGCATGCCTTCCTACAGCAGCTGCACGGTTACCACGGTGCAGCCCATGGACAGGCTCCCCTACCAGCACTTCTCGGCCCACTTCACCTCGGGGCCCCTGGTCCCCCGGCTGGCCGGCATGGCCAACCACGGCTCCCCGCAGCTCGGAGAGGGGATGTTCCAGCACCAGACCTCCGTGGCCCACCAGCCTGTGGTCAGGCAGTGTGGGCCTCAGACTGGCCTGCAGTCCCCCGGCGGCCTGCAACCGTCCGAGTTCCTCTATTCTCACGGCGTGCCGCGGACCCTGTCCCCCCACCAGTATCACTCGGTGCACGGCGTGGGCATGGTGCCAGAGTGGAGTGAGAACAGCTAAAGTGAGGCCTGCTTCCTCACAGACGGTTGCTAGAGAGAGAGAGAGAGAGAGAGAGGGAGAGCGGGAGAGAGGGAGAGAGACAGTAGCAGAGAGAACCCCACGGACGGCATTTTTCATTTCAGTGTTCACGTCTGCACTCCAGAGCCCTGGGCGCTGATCTAATCGGCCGCTTGAATCCACAATTCAAAAAATGTGACTTTGTTGTTCTGTCTCAAAACCAACCGAAAAAAGAGGAGCCCCCACCCCCCACGACCACCGCACTCGTCGGCCGGCCATGTTCACACCACCTGCAGATGTCCTCGGTGATTCCTTCTTTTGGTCTCCAGAAAGCCTTGCCTTACCGAGTGTTTTAGCCGAATGGCGTAGATGGGAGTCTTCCCTGTCTTGGTGTTAATGTTGACGTTGTTATATAATAAATAATAATATATTTTTTTTCTTTCAATTTTCTTAATGGGACCCAGTCCCTTATTTTGGGGGAGGTCTGAGGCAAGTGCATTTCAAAATATGTACTTGTGGGGATCCCCCCCAGATATACCACCCCTGAAACCTAAATTTGCCACCCTGCACTTGACTAAAAAATGACCTACCTCTGCCATGATGTTCCTGAAAAAGTTCCCTAGGTCCCAGCTTTTGTCCGATTTTTCCTCTCTTGCCCATCATCACAGAGCCCAGTGTGGCCCTCTCCTTATAACGCGGGCCTCCATCTGGCCTCCTATCTCCCTCTGCCCTCCCATCTTCCCAGCTCTGTGTCTTTCCAGCCGTCTGTCGCTAAAACGTGGCCTATGGCTTCCCAACCGGAAAGCTTGCTTTGAAAAACTTGAAAAGCCCTGGTTTACATGTGGGCAGAACTGTGATAAAGCAAGGAGCAAGCTCTGTGCTGACAAGCGTTGCAAAAAGGCCAAAGTAAATATTGGTCCTGATAAAACACAAAGCCAGCCCCAAGCTCCCAAACCTCCATCACCGACGACCCGCCCCGGATGCCAAGCAGAACCCACTGTTCCTACAGAAGGGGCCCAACGTGCTCGCCGATTGGTTCTCTCCAAAGAAATCACACCGACACCAGATGCCGACACAAAACTGCGGTTATTGAAAGCAGAAAACAGTATTAAAAAAAAATAAATAAGCGTGTAAGTAAAATGTTATTGCAGGGTTCTTCAGATGTAATATTTTACTGGTACTATTTATTTATAAATAGGAGTTCTAATTAAGTAATAACATGAAATGAAATCCAGCATAAGAGCTGGCCAAGAGCTTTTAATTTTATTAATACTCAAAACCAAGTTTGCGTTTTTTTTCTTTCGAATGTGCTTTGCTTTCTTGATTAAAAAAAAATTTTTTTTTAAACTGACCCTAATAAAGAGAACAGGGTAATATGTGAGGCTAAGTATGTCCCAGTACGTGCGAGTGTGTGAGTATGTTTGTACGTGAGTGTCCTCATTCGATTATGTCCTTTTTATGTTGCTAAGGGGTGGGGTGAGAATTAAGTACTCGTTTCGTATATTTGTGTGCCAATTAATGCCTAATAAATACCATGTGCTTAAAAAGTACAAGGGACTTGAATACCCTTTTTTTTTTTTTTTTTACCCTGTTCTTTCTACTGACTGAATAGAGGGGAAATTAGGTGGAGGACATGGGAAAAAGTTGTCTTGCAGGTGCAATTTTTACCCCATCTTCTTTCTCCAACTGGTCTCAGGGAGTATTTGGAATCCCGTACTTGGAGTGTGATGGAGCTGAATATATTTATCTCTTGGCTTATATCCCTGGGATGGAATTATTTGCTTTCATTGAATTTGTGTCGGCGTTGGAAGAAAAAAGATCATCAGGAATCTCAACTGACCAAAAAATATCGGTCATACTCTCTAACACCTAGTACTTGATTTTCTGAAGGATCTCTTTCTTTGAATTAATTGCTGGAATCAAGTTTTTGGAGGTCCTAATGCAAGCAACCTTAGGGACCTTCGATGGCTATTTATTTAAAACACCCAAATTTAAGATGTGTGAGTTTGTCCTGTATGATACATATAGGGCAGAGCAGAGCAGCAGATTTGTGAGTAAATTCATGTTGCAGTTTTTCAAAATTGTTATAATTTCAATGCCTGTACCTTCCAAATGATCAAGAACCATCAGATATATCACATCCCCTTGAAACAGGAACAACTAGATTGTTGATTACAAATTATTCATTTAATCAGATCCCTCTGGAACTTTTCCTAGGCAAAGAACTCCCAAGACATGTGAATTAATTACAAAGAAATGACAACTCAGTTTCTTGCAGGTACAGTGGAGAAACTAGTCAATGTATTCTCGTCCCCGCAGAGAATGAATTAAAGTTTCACTGAATAAATTCTGACTGTACCCTAAATAGGTATTTATTCTGTTGGGTTAAAAAAAAAAGGTTGCATTTGAAAAAATTACCTTCCAAAACTCATTTAGCAACTATACAAGGTAGTCAGTCTTATTTTTTCACAAGAACATCACAAGAATACTGAATTAACACCCCTCCAGTGCAGCGCTCAAACAGTTGCTGCCAATGGAAAATCACTCAAAACGTGCTCGCAGCAAGTTTCATAGAAGGGACATCTCGTTCCATAACAGATGCAAGTTAACTTCTTTGGGTTCCAAACAATGGTTACAAAGTATCTCTCCACTGAATTGGTAGGCTTAAGGATGTCACATGCAAATATTTGTGTAGTTTTATTATTGTTCCGATGTCAAGAGACATGGTGTAAATTGCCATATTCCTGTAGTATATTTAGTGGATGCTTCTTCTGGACTGGACATGTGGAAATGCTGAGGACACAGTAGTGAACAAGGTGATAGAGGTTGTATTCTTCTGGAGTGTATGGTTTAGTGACACAGCCCTTATGTAATCTGCATGATCAGATTGCAGATGGATTGCAAAGGCAAGACGTATGAAGGCAGCATGCATGATGTCATAAAGGGATAAGACAAGGAGTCCCCACTTGATCTGGAGGAGGTGTCTTCTGGGCTGAGCCCTGAAGGCTAAGTAGGAATTAGCCAGATGAAAAGTTGGGAGGAAAAGCATTTCAGGCAGAGGGAACAGCTTGGGCAAAGATCCTGAGGCAGAAATGGTGATGAAAGAATGAGCTGTAGGGTTCATGGATGGTGGTAATGACCTACTCTGCGTTCATTCATTTATTCAACAAGCATGTGTTAAGGTCCCACCCTGTGTGGTAGACACCCTGACTTGTTGAGCACCTACTAATTGTGTTAGGCTCTTTTCCAGTTAGTTCCCATGACTGCAAAGGACTGGATCTGTGAGCTGGTAGGCTTCTTTGTACTTGAGAGAGGAGTGTTAAAGTCCCCTCCTGCTTCCTGGTCCAACATTGAATGGGACTCAAAGTCATGGGATCACTAGAAGGATCACTGGAACTTTGAGAGACTCAGATCATTGGTATTCTTGAGCTCAGAGAGGTTGGGATCACCACCCTCAACATCACACAGCTGGTGTGCGGCAGAGCTCAGCATAAACCTCAGTCTGCCCAAGCCTTAGTAGCTTCCTTGTTCATTAAAAGGAGATAGGGTACCTGCTTCAAAGGACTATTGTCCCTTGAAGTTTAAGTGAATAATATCTGTAGAAATGTACCATAAAGTACCTACCACAGTACATGTTCCATAAATGCCTGAAAAGACAGACTTATCAATGAAACACAAGCCTAACTTGTATGCATTGGCTTAGCAAATGTATAGTTAAGTAATCATGATACCTATTGCTAATGGGAAAATAAATCCCAGAAACTGCTGGCCGGAATGAAAATAGATAAACTTTTTAAGAGGAGAATTTGGCAAAAGATATCAGAAGCCTTAAAATCGTACTAATCGGTTCATTTGGTAATTCCACTTGGGGGAATTGGTCCTAAGGAAATAATCAGGGATGTGCATCATACTAATTTTCTGGGAAGTTAATCATGATTTTTAAAATCATACAAAACTGGGGACAGACTTGTTATCCACTAATATGGTGCTGGTTAAATAAATTAGTGTACACCCATGCAATGGAAGACCACACGGCTTACTAAAAAATACATTTGTGAAGACAATTGGAAAAGGATATTTAAGATACATTGTAACTAAAAGAAGCTGATTACAAGTAACGCGCATGGCAGCTTCTCAGTCTTATTAAATGCAACTGTGTTCATTCGGCTTGCAGGGAAAAAAACCACTTAGTTTGTAGAACAAAATAATAACGGTGGCAGGACTATGAGTGTTCACATGTTCTTTGTGTTTTGGGGTATTTCTCAATTTTTTTTTTTGTGATGACGATTAGTTATCTTTATAATGAGGAATAGAATTGGTAAAATAAAATCTAGTGTATTCCTTGGCCATGGTCAAATCGAGTTTGTGAGGAAGGTGGGGCCCCCTGGGTCGACTTTGAGGACGAAGGGATGCAGATCCAATAAGGAGCACCATTGGCCCCGGGGAAGTGACAGAGCTGGGTACTGGTACTAGTCAGCTGACCGCTAATCGTGGAACATTCTACCTCAGAAACAAGGAGACACCCAGCTGCTTCTCTGTTTCTACTTTCTGGGATTGCCCCTTGCTGACTTGCTCCTCTTGGTGGGTTGGGCTATTGTCCTGGGGTGGACTCTGATTCTCTTGTTAACAAATCTAACACACAGGCAGGTACGTGCACGTGCACATAGACCCACAAACACTCGTACATACACACAAACACACAGATACACACAACACACAGACACAATGTACACATATATAAACACACAGAGACACATACACCCACGTGCAAACACACACACACAACACACACGCACACACACATAACTTGTTGGCTCAGGTGCTTTTAAGAATCTCACCTTTGTTCTCTACCTGACCTGGCTTATAAAATTCACTTTCCAACTCACTGCTTCCGTGACCTTGGGCAAGTCACTTAACCTCTTTTACCCTCTATGTGATGAGGATAATGACCTACTCTGCATTCATTCATTTATTGGATATGGGATGAGGATCATAAGAGTATTCCCCCGGGGGGGTTGTTCTAGTGGACATGCAGTGAGAGAGTGAGTATGAAGTTCTGAACACTGCCTGGTTTAGGGCAATAACGGTTGGCTGATAAGAAGATGAATCAGTATCAATTATTATTGCTAGTCCTCCGTCCCCTTTTCCCCCTCTTACTCCTGCCCCTCCTTTGCTGGTTGGGAAATTGGCCCCTGTGATTGCTATTATTTTTATAATGGACCTCAGCTCAGCCAGGGTTAGGAAAACATCCCCATCATCGTCATCACCATCATCATCACTTTGAATAATAATTAAAACACAGCTGTTCCACGCAGGCATCATCTCAAGGATGATTTCAATAGCTGGCATCGTAAGTGACTACCAACCCTGGATCCTCTGTGGCAACCAAGAGGGACCAGAAATTTCTACATCCCTAAAAGGCTGACAACCCAGCACCA